AAAGTGAAGCAGTTTAGCCTTGGAGACACAAATGTCCCCTGTACATCTGTAATCATCACAGTGTGGAGATGGCTAGCGCTAACTCTTGTTAAGTGTCTGTGAATCATTTCCAGACAGAGTTTGCCCTCTTGTCAGCTTTGGCCTTTAACCAGTTTCAGTATGCCTTCTTGTCGTCTCTCCTCCCTTCTTCCCTTAATCCCTTCCTGCTGCCTTTATCTTTTTTTAATGTGGAAATTGATTTTTTTATTCATTTATTTTTACATTCCAATCCCAGTTCCCCCTCCCTCCTCTCTTCCCACTCCCCACTATCCCCCTCCTCCCATCTGCTCCCCAGAGAAGGTAAGGCTTCCCCTAGGAAGTTTACTAAGTCTGTCCCGTCATTTTGTTGAGGCAGGACCAAGGCACCTCTCAACCCCCGCACCCATGTCTAGGCTGGACAAGGTGTCTCTCCATATAGAATGGGCTCCACTAAGTCAGTTTGTACATTAGTGTTTGATCTTGGACCATCCTTTATTTTTTTGAGGCACTATCTATAGCTCAGGTCTCTGCCTCAGGCTGGCCTTGAACTCACTATGTAGCCCTGGTCACTCTTGAACTCTGGGCTCTATCTCCTCAATACTCTTGCCTCTACCTCCTCAATACTTGGATTTCAGAAGCAAGCCTGGCTCCTTTTTTCTTGTTAGATTGCCTTTCCCAGGGGCACACAGATAGAGCAGAAAGGAAGCTGTGATAAATTGGTTGCTTTCTATTTTTTTTTTGGCTAGCGATGTTATCATTTTTTTTAGAAAGTTTTTTGAAAAGCCAAGGAAGGTGATAAGAACCCTCAGATAAATGTGTATGTACTTCTTAAGAAATTCACACATTCTGGGGGAATCATATAGCCTGAGGTCCAGGATCTAGGTCAAGCATCTGCCCATATAGTCAGCAGGGAGCACATACGGGGTCAGTTGTCTGAGTTGGACAGGTGCAAGGACTCCTGTCATCTCAGGAAGATGGCACAGGTCCTCGCACTTGAAAGTGGCCCACTTAGCATCCTGTAATTAGAGTCACTGCAATAATCTCTGCAGCCTCTTAGAGTTCTACCGTGGGTACCGTGGCAATAATGGTGGAGTTGCAGTCTGCACTGACCCTACAGCAGGTAGTGTGGGGTATCTGTGCCCTGCATCCACCTACTACTGCACAGAGAAGGCTGTGTTTGGATCCAAGAGGACAGTGTAACAGCAAGAGGGGGGGGCAGGGCTGAAGCATGGCAAGGGGGCTGTGTGCGCAGGGAGCAGGACTCAGCCTCACAGTCTTCCGGTTACACTTCACAGACCTTGTTCATCTAAACAGAGCTGATGGCATGTCTGCATGTCCCCAATGCTAGGATTGATTTCAGGTGTGTACGGCCGTTTCCTGCTTTTATATGGTTTCTATGCTTACACTCAGTTTCTGACTCATGCTTGCTCAGCAAATCCTTTATTAACCGAACCACCTGTTCAGTCCCAGGTAGGATGTTTTAAATAGTGGGATTTGCTGATCAATTGGGTCATCTATTCTGGCGATGAGTGTACTACTACAGTCATGTCAGGCCAGGTAGGGCGGCACACATCTGAACCCTGCAGTTGGGGCCTAAAGAAAGATGGCCAAGAGTTTTAGGCTATCCTGGGCTACACTGTGAGACCATGTCTCAAAAAATGGAAGACATACATAGATTGTCATTAGTCAAAAGGTCTATTACTAACATGGCAAGACTCCCACTTAGCCTGCATCTCCAGGAGGAAGAACATGGGTAGAGAAACACTCACACGGGAGTGGGGGTGACTTGATGGCAGCTAGCTACTTTTCTCTTGAATATACAGTCTGGTATTCTTGGCCCATGTGTGTTCTATGGATTGGGGAAGATTCAAATGAATCTCCCGTTTACTGAACTCCAAATCTTGTCATGCCCGAGCCTCGGTTGCTTCTTACTATTGTGTATAGTCAGTTTGTGGAAAGAATTGCTCCTAACATCTAAAACGCCAGGACCCATTGCAGGTGCCCAGAGGGCGTAGGACAAGACACAGGCATCATCGGCTGCATCCCCCACTCAAAGTGGAGAAGCATATGATCGTTATCAAAGGCTCGAAGTAGCTAGAGCTATGTCTCTCAGCAGCTTGTACTCAAGTAAAGCCAGGCCAGCCATCTGTGGGGCCCATCTTGAGCAGCCTATGAGCACAGTGTAGGGAGAGCAGCGAGGCCCCTGGTCTCACCTGGAGGGAATGTCAACGGTAAGTTCAGTTTGGTCCATTGGTACAGAGGAGATGACATGAAAACTGACAGTGAATGCCTGTGAGGACTGAGGAAAGAAGGTCAACGGTGGAAAGATGGGGCAAAATGATGAGGGAGCAAATATGAGGCCAGGGCGTCACACTGCGTGACATATATGAAACCCCTAATATGCGTAACGACAAAATGAACAAGAGCTGGAGAGATGGCTGAAAGCCTCTAGTCCTCTTGAAAGGACCCGAGTTAGGTTTCCAGCACCCACACTGGGTGGCTCACAACCACCTGTGATTCCAGTCCCATGGGGTTTGGTCTCTGGAGGCATTTGAACTCATGTACATGCGCGACACAGGCACACACAGGTGCACACACTCACACTTGCATTTTTTAAAAATTAAACATATTCTTATGTAAATGAAGTGGCAGAGATGAAATTGCATTAGAAACTGTAAAGTGTGGAGTACCCATGCTTGTTGCTCGTGTCACATGCTTCTTCCTAGGTCTCTAAGCACAAACATTTTACATCAACATTTTGGAGTGTCGTTTAGAGGGCTCTCATAGAGACTGGGGAGATGGTTCACGCACAAGCACTGGCCTCACAAACACAAGAATTGGAATGCCCAGAACCCGTGTACAGCTGGAGACAGTGGCACAGGCCAGTTAAACCAGCATTTCTCCGGTGAGATGAGAGGTGCAGGAAGGAGAATCCCTGGAAGCTTGCCCGCCAGGCAATCTGGCTAGCAAAGACTGAGAGGCACAGACTGGGGACTCGGCCTTAAATAAGGTGAAAGGCAAAGATGGATGCCCAAGTTTGTTTCTGTCTGTCTGTCTGACACACACACACACACACACACTCACACACACACTCAAACACACGTGCATGCCTCTGTGTATGTGTTAGAGAGAGAGAGAATCCAGGTTGTTTCTGGTAACACTAGAAGCATTTTTCTTCCGGAAGGAATGGTTGGAAATCCTTGTTTTTTATTGACTTACATTAGCAAACCATAACTCCTTATCTCTTTAATGCCCTTGATATCATAGTGACTGTCTTTGTCATAGACCTGTCTGCCCATAATTTGTGCCAAGCCCTAAATAACTAGAGGCAGAATGTTGGTGTGTATGGAGCAGACAGTTGGGAACCCCAGACTATAGGACTCCATTCTTTATTTCTCCTTTCCCTGTGGAGAAAAAGGGTCCTGGATAGCCTCTCTGTAGGGTCCCAAGCGTGAATCATATCTGCTTTCAAAGTTTGTTGAGATCCATGAATACCCTGTGAGCTGGAGGCAGAACCCTTATGAATTGTAAGTGAGGCGAATGTGGTTTTAAAATTAAATAGCAGCATTGTGTTATTTTTCATCGAGATTCAGAGCAGCAGACCTTCCCAGCAGAAGTAACTTACATAATTCGATTCTCTCACTTAACCAGAACTGATCACTGTGGGGATAGAAATTAATTTTGAGGAAAACAGCTGCCGGTTTTGCCTCCGCGCCAGCCTCTCTCCAAGCTTTGTGAATGTGGTCAGAATGTAACACACAGCTTCCTCCGGGTGACTTGTTTATTCAATAGGTCTCCCCCTTGAGCTCCTCTCCAATCTTTAGTTTACCTGGAGAACGGTCAGGCCATGCAAGTATCCTCTGGGGTACTGACACGCATCGTCACATCTGTCCACACCAGCTTGGATGATTAAAGGGACTGGGTGTGGTGTGCAGACTCCGAAGGTTTGGAGCTAAATGAAATGAGGCTGCGGCCAGATATGGTGGTTGAGGCCTGTCGTCCCAATTACGCTGAACATGGAGGGAAAAATACCGCAAATTCAAGGCTAACCTGAGTTACAGAGTAAGTTTAAGGACAGCTCAAGGTAAAACATAAAAGAGAGCTGAGGATGTAGCTCCAGGGTGAAACACTCACCTAATCTGCCAGTAAGGGGCTGGGTGAGGTTTAGCGGTTGGAGTTCTGCCTAGAATTTCCCAGTGATGGTTGTGAGGCATGGACAAGAAGCAGAGCACTTGCCTAGAAACATCCAGTGAGGACCTGGAAGTGTGTCTCAGTGGTAGAGCCCTTGCAACTAGACAAAGTGAAATCCTCTATGAGACAGGTTGATATAACAGGAGCCTTTATTTCCTCCTTACAAGGGAAGTGAACAGGAAGACAATATTCACGCTGATGTAAACCTTTGTAGCTCTTTAGACAGATTGCGTGTCATTCAGCAAAGTGACATTTGAAGCAGCTGAGTTGGCCTTAGGCTACCTACCTACCTAAGAAGAGGTGATATGACCTAGGACAGGGAAAACGCTGTTTGTGACAGCTGGTACACCGTAACATCTGATCGTCCACTGTGTCGTGAGTCTTTCTCTTGTTCTGTGGGTCAGCTCCCAAATCATGACATGGGGACTTATTATTAATCAAGAAAGCTCAGCCGATAGCTTAGGCTTGTTTCTGCCTAGCTCTTATAGCTTAAATTAACCCATTTCTATTCATTTATGCTGCCATGTGGCTTACGTCTGTTACCTATCCTCCTTCATGTCCTGCTTGTTCTCCGTTTCTTAGCATCCCCTCCCTTCTTTTTTCTAGCATTCCCCATGCCACCAACATCCTGCCTAGCTATTGGTTATTCAGCCTTTTATTAAATATATCCAAGTGACACATCTTCACAGTGTACAAAAGGATTATTCCACAACACCACTACTCTGGTTTGAATGTAAAATGTTCTCATAGGCTTATTGTGTTTAAACACTTGGTCTTCAGCTGGTATCAATGAATTAGAAGGTTGTGGAACCTTCGTGAGGTGGAGCCTTGCTGGAGGAGGCCATCACTTGAAGTTTTATAGCCCATCCCATTTCCTGTAAGGGCTCTGCTTCTGACTGCAGACATGATGTGACCAGCTGCCTCACACCTTCCCACAATGAACTGTATCCCTTCAAACGGTAAGCCATGAAAACCTTTTCTCCTTTAAGTTGCCCTTTTAATTATTTATTTGTTTAGTGTGTGTGTGTGTGTGTGTGTGTGTGTGTGTGTATGTATGATGTGGGTCTCCGTGGAGATCAGAAGAAGGCATCAGATGCCTGGACTGAATTTGGGTGCTAGGAATTGAACTCAACTCAGGTCCTTTTGTAGAGCTATCTTAGCAATGAATCATCTCTCTAGCACCTACTTTCAGATTTTTTTTTTGTGGTGCAGATGGATATGACTCAGTTTCAACATGCAACCCCTTCTTGCAATGTGCTCTACTCTGGGCTTGCAGAGGGGTTTCCAAAATAAGATTTCGAAATTTGACACTGCTATTGAGAAACAGAGTCTAAGGACCTACATTTTCAGTAGGAAGAGGTTCACTTAACTGGGTCTGTTTCAACCAAGATATTACAATGGAGGAGACATAGTATAACTTCAGAGGCTTGACCACTATTTGGGGGATGTTTGTTCTTTTATATATGTTTTGGTTACTGTTCTGGAGGCTGTGACCATAGACCAGGCAAGAAACAACTTAAGGGCAGAGGATTTGATTCTGAAAATTTGAAGTTTCATCATTGTGGGGAAGACACATGGCAGGAGAACAAGGTGTCTGGTCACATGGCATTCACAGTCAGGAAGCAGAGAGACATGGATGCTGACTTCCTCCTTTTTATTCACTCTGGGACCCCAGCCCATGAGATAGTGTCACCCACATTCTGCATGGCTCTTCCCTCTTCAATAACCCAGCCTAGGAATCCCTTCATAGGCTTGCCCAGAAGTTCATTTCCATGATGATTTTAAACCTTGTGAAGTGGCCAACCAACTGTCTATAATGTAAAACGTCAAGGCCAGTGATGCAGCCCAGCAGATAAATGTGTTTACTCTGAGTCTAATGAACTTCAGTCCCCTGGGCCCAACATGATGGAAGGAGAGAAAAGACTTCCAAAGATTGTTCTCTGACTGCCACCTGTGTCCTGTAGCACCTTGACTACCCTACACTCTCAACAACAACAACAACAACAACACACACACACACACACACACACTGTAAAAAAACCAATGCTAACCTAGAACCTCTTGCTGGGGAAGTGTTGTGTAAGCACAGTTGGAGCCCTCATCACACTCCAACAGGGCCGCTCTCATCCAGTCTCAGCTCTGCACATGGCCCCTCACAGATTTTGAGTCCAATCCAGCCTCCATATAAACTATAGCAGCAGTGGGCATCTAGCTGCATCCCATGAGAGCTCCCAAGGAAGAACTACCCACCTGAAATTTTCCAAACTCCTCATCCCCAGAACCTGAGTCCAACAAACTGGTCACTACAAGCTGCTACATTTTGGGATAGCTTGCTAATAAGAAATTGTGAGCACTACACCAATTATGATAATTGAGTATACCAACAGGATGAGAGAGCCAGAGGTGAGTGTCACTAAAGTGTACCACAGAACAGAAGAACATTCTGGAACCCACTTCTTTTAGGTTTGGTGCCGGGTGCTTATCTAACATGAAAGCTCTCATCTTCCCCCATTAGGATGACTTCCTCATCTGTGACTTGGAGGGGCTGCTGTGCATCAGGTTGGGTTTTAGAGATGCGACTGACATCTTGTTTCTTTCTCCTATGAAACAAGCTAATTTTTTTCAGTCTCATAATGCTCTTTCTCTGGGACAGAAAGGTTATTGATTGTCACAATTCTCTGGCCTGGGTAATCGATACTCAGCAGTTAAAAGGGAACACGGTGACGGATGGGAGTCCCATCTAGTGCTGTTCTACATGATGGTGGGCTGTGATAATTCGCCTGTCAGAGAGCCACGCTTTCTTAAGAAGCCAAATGTGAAGGCATTAGGGGATTTGGTGTCAAGATGAGTGGCGACATGTTTGTGAGTTGACATTTGAAGGTTTTTTTTTTCTATGAGAAGTAGAGGTGAGTACAGGATCTATTCCTCAGAGAGGACCCCGGTTCTTTTCTGATATTGTCAAAGTAACAAGTGAAAAGTTTCAGGGTTGAGGTCCAGGAGGAACACTGAGGTGGATTGTCCTTTTATATAAGAGATTTATTGGAGTGACATTAACATAATAGGCCAGTGGTTCTCAACCTTCCTAATGCTAAAGGGAAGGAGACTTAGAAGTTTCTGGTTTTGGTTCTCAGTGGGCCATTGCTAGGGTAACCAGTAAGTGGTCATTTAAAGAATGATCATGATCAGTAAACATCTTTTCTTCCCACCCATTAGTGAAGTTGGATGGGGGAGGGACAGTAAGTGTCTAGAGAAACAAGCTGCTTCAGTTCTGGAAACCAAATTACTTTCTTAAAAGCAAACAAAAACTGTAACAGCTCAAGAAAAATGGAGGAGCTCTACAGAATGACTTAGCCTTGGCTAACAGCAAGGATGGAGGCATGGCTCCACCCTATCACCTGCAGCAGCTGGAGAAGTCCCCTTTAGGAGCTTCCACTCAGTAGACCCAAGGTTCTTAGCATTGATGAAAAAAAGACTCTCAAGACCAGCCAGTTTGAAGCTGAGCTGTTAGAAACACATACTGGTCTTACAGGAGACCCAAGTTGCATGTCAGGCAGCTCACACTTGCCTTTCACTCCCACTCTAGGGATGCGATGTCCTCTTTTGGCCTCTAGGAATATTACACTCAAGTGTACATACCCATACAGAGACATACACACCCATAATCAAAAAAAAATAAAAAGAGAGCTAGCTTAGCTTGAATCAGGACATGAGCCAGCAATCACCATCCCTTCATGTTTCCTCCCTTCAGTTCCTGTCCTGACTTCCCTGGACTCTGCCTTAGAAGCAGAAATGGCCACTTTCTGCCCTATGTTGCTTTTGGTCTGAGTTATTTATCATATCAACATGGATGAAACTAGAACAACACACACCTATTCATTTATCTGATTACTTTAATCTCGTCCACTGTGATGTTCTGTCATCCCTTGGCCTTCTTTCTAGGTGACTCATCATCTGCATTACTGTGACAGTCACTGTACAAGGGGACCACACTTCACTCAGGCACTAAAATGAGAATGAGTCATCATGCAAAGTTTGTACCAGACAGAACTAGTTCTAGCAACAGAAAAATTGGTTTCACTAATAAATCGTAAATATGTACCATGTGATGGTGGACCCTTTGAAGTAACTTGAAAGCAACTGGTTGAAAATTGATGTTATTCCAAATAGGTAGATTGATAGACAAAACCAGGAAATCCAGTAACATAAGCTATAAGACCCAAGCAGGAATTATATCCTGTCTTATCATCCTTGTGTCATATGAGATTCCATTTCTCATGTCATATCATATCAAGGGTGTAACATTTTCATTTACTTGTTTGTTAATTCCTTTTTCATCTTTGTGTGTGTTTGATATGTTAGAGTGTTTTATCACAGAAACATAGATGAAACTATAATAGTATATTTCCATTCATTTTTGATGACTTTAATCTTGTGTGTGTGTGTGTGTGTGTGTGTGTGTGTGTGTGTGTTCATGCAGGCATATACAAATGAATCCACAAGTGTATAACATGTCTAGGTGAGCAACAGTGGAGAAGGGAGAAATTTGCTATATACCACTGGTGATCAGGCTCCATGCAAGCTTTAAGAAACTTGTGTAAAGTTTGCCTTAAAGTGTGTCCTTTCTCTGAAGCCTTTGTCAGCAACTGTGGGGTGGATGTGGAGGGAAGAGAGAGAGCTAATGGCAGGCAGTGGGAAGAAGGCATTCTGGTTTCTCATTGCTCTGATTGAATACCTGGCAAAAGCAACTTCAAGGAGAAGTTTATTTTTGACTAACAGGTCTGGGAGTCCAGTTCGTCCCAGCTGGGAGTTCATGTTACTTTGGGTGGCATGGTCAGGGTGGTCAAAACCTACAGAATGGTTTCTTATAACTTGCCAGATAGGAACCAGGAGATTGTATTTGTCCCAACCATGAATGACCCTCAGGTTACCAATGCCTCACCCCCACCCCTTACTGAGAAGCAGTCTACTATGTGATGTAGGACTCTTGACATTTTTTGCACAGGATGGACTAAACCATTCCCTTGTTCTGTTCACAGACAGCCTCACACTTGAGCAAGCATTTTCTTGATCACCTCGTGGGGAGTGTGAGGAGCCAAGTGAAGAGGCTCTTGGCAGCAATTCTCCCCCATGAATGCTGGGAAGCATTATTTACGATTCAGAGCAGGCAGCCTGCATTAGGAACTGATTTTCTAAATTTAGAAATGATTCATGTGATTTGGAACGACTCAGCTTTAAGTCACATTAAAAAAAACCCAGCAGGTGGCCATTAGTGTTAAAGTGTGGCTTGCATTTCTTTTCTTTTTGGAAGAAAACAGAACTTTCCAAGGCTGGAGTTGCTCATTGGGGTAGTCAGGAGATGCAAAGATTTGCTAGAGCTGTGCAAGGCCCACACAGCTAAGCTGGCTGACTCTGACCTGCGTGTTGTGCTCTGGGAGTGGATCTCCCACAGCTTTGTCTTTAGAGTCTTCAGAATTCTGTGACTCTGTACAACATGATCCTGTTTACCCACTGCTGGAGAGTGTTAGTGGAATCCTTGAACTTGGGAAAAGAGAAAGGTTTTAGAGTGCAACGAGACAGGAAGTCGTTGCATTTTTAAAAAGTTTGTGTGTTGGCACTGGGGTACTGAGGGAGATATTGATCCAATGCAATCTGTCCTGCAACTCTGTGCTGATGTATTTGGTTATCATGCTGATTTCAGTGACAAAAATGCTGGGCAGAAGCAATTTAAGGAAGGAAGGAAGGAAGAAAGGAAAGAAGGATTTACTGTGGCTTACAGTTTGAGGACACACAGTCCATCATGGCAGGGAAGGCATGGTGACAGGAGCATGAGGTCACATTACATCTACCACCAGGAAGCAGGGAAGGAGATGAATGCCAGCGTTCAGCTCACATTTTCTTTTGTATTTAGTCCAGGACACCCGCCCCCACCTGTGGGATGCTGTTGCCCATTGTCCAGAGT